ATCTGAATTCATTTTAATCAAAGTAACCAAAAATAAGCTTGATTTTTTTATTTTATTGAATTTTTGTATGAATTATTTTATTGCATTTTTTATTTATTTGCATTTTTCCTTTGTATATTTTTATTCTGACGTTTAGTCATGATATTGTAATGTTTTATTTATTTATTTGTATGTCTGTATTACGTCCTATATGATCTTTCCTGTCATGTATTCGTCCAGATGTCAACGAATGTGATCTGAATCCCAACATCTGTCTGCACGGCGACTGTGAAAACACGAAAGGCTCCTTCATCTGCCACTGTCAGCTGGGATACTTCGTCAAGAAGGGCTCCACCGGATGCACAGGTACGACAGAGTCAGAGAAAAACCAGATCAGAGCAGATCGAGGAGTTCAGGCCGGTTCTGGATCATGCCAGCTGGTGTAAAGTGTTTGTATTTTGGCAGACGTCGATGAGTGTGAGATCGGCGCTCATAACTGCGACATGCACGCCGCCTGCGTCAACGTCCCGGGGAGCTTCAAGTGCCGCTGCCGCAACGGCTGGGAGGGCGACGGGATCAAGTGCGTCGGTGAGTGACGAGCGCCGCTGATCTCCAGGTGAGCGTCAGAGTCTGGCTGTGGTTTGAGGCTGTTTTTGTGTCGCTGCAGATGTGGATGAGTGCGTGACTGAAGAACACAACTGTAACCCGAAGGCTGAGTGCATGAACACGCCGGGATCGTACCGCTGCTCCTGTAAAGAGGGATTCAACGGCGACGGATTCACCTGCTCCGGTATCACACATAGCAACTGCATTGGGCTTTTCCTTTCTTCTTTTATTTTATGAAGTTATTTTATTTGTGTGTTTGTGCAATTTATTTTAATTTAAACTTTAAATACAATAATAAAAAAAAAATCTTTACTTATAAAGTAATCTAATAAAGTAATCTTTTACTCTTGGTTGTTTGTGCAGACATGGACGAGTGTGCGGATAACGTGAATCTGTGTGAGAACGGCCAGTGTCTGAACGCACCGGGAGGATATCGCTGCGAGTGTGAGATGGGCTTCACCCCGACTGAAGACAGCCAGGCCTGCCAGGGTAAACACACACACACACACACAGAGGTACAGTAACACACACACACACACACACACACAAACACACACACACACACACACAGAGATACAGTAACACACACACACACACAGAGATACAGAAACACACACACACACTCACTCAGTCCGCTCTGTGTCGTCCGTCAGACATCGACGAGTGTAACTTCCAGAACATCTGTGTGTTCGGATCGTGTCAGAACCTGCCGGGAATGTTTCGCTGTGTGTGTGACTACGGATACGAGCTGGACCGCAGCGGAGGAAACTGCACAGGTGACACACACACACACACACACACACACACCTCAGTTTTGAGCATCATGTTCACAAATCACAAAAGCTTTTATAAGATAGTATTTGTTTGTGAATTCGTTTATTTGTTTGTGTAATTTACACAAAATAATTCTATATTAATATTTAAATTAAATATATGAAATGTATATTAATATTTTAATAATTAATATTTTTTTATAGAACTTTTAATTAATTTTGCATGATTTAATAATTTTAATAAAGAAAAGCAGATATATAACATTTCAGAAAAAAGCTAAAAAAACAGACTAAATGCGAGCGTAGCCTTGATTTTGAGCAGTTTTATGTTTTATGTTTTTGTAAGATTGTATTTTTGTGAATTTTTAGTTTTATTAAAAACTCGCGTTACTTGTAATGCATTCCCCCAACACTGTTCATTTCAGCAAGCATCTACAAAAGAGCCTCTGAATGTGAGCGCAGTCTCAGTTTCGGGCATCACACTTGCGTGTGGTTTCTCAGTTTTGTCTCTCTCTTTCACAGATATAAACGAGTGTTTCGATCCGGTGAACTGCATCAACGGCGTGTGTGTGAATCTGCCCGGCAGCTACCTGTGCAACTGCCCGCCAGACTTCGAGCTCAACCCGTCGGGCGTGGGCTGTGTCGGTACTGAAGCCGTCCCGCCGCATGATTTCACCCGAATCACGGTGCAGTTAATCTAATGTCTGTTCTGTGGCAGACACTCGTGTGGGGAACTGCTTCCTGGACACTCTGGACCGCGGTGACGGAGGCATCTCCTGCAGCGCTGAGATCGGGGTGGGAGTGACCCGCGCCTCCTGCTGCTGCTCGCTGGGGGGAGCCTGGGGAAACCCCTGCGAACTCTGCCCTCCCATCAACTCCAGTACAGACACACCAGAGCATCACACAGCTGTTCAGACGATCCATACTCTACCGCTCAAACGCTTGTAATGTTTTACAGGAGTCTCTTCTGCTCATCAAGGCTGCATTTATTTGATCAGAAATACAGGAAAAATGTGAAATATTATTACCATGTAAAATAACGTGTTTCTATTTAAATATACATTCAAATCGAATTTATTCCTGTGATGCAGCGCTGAATTACTCCAGTCTTCAGTGTCACATGATCTTCAGAAATCACTCTAATATGCTGATTTATTATGCTTCATATTTTTTGGGAACCTGTGATACTTTTTTCAGGATTCTTTGATGAATAGAACGTTAAAAAGAACAGCATTTATTTAAAATAGAAATCTTCTCTAACAATAAAATTTGAGATCAGTACATTTTTATTCTCTTTTTTTGAAAGAAATGAAAACTTTTATTCAGCGAGGATGTGTTAAATTGATAAGACGTGACAGAATTGTTAGAAAAGATTTATATTTTGAATAAATGCTGTTCTTTTTAACGTTCTATTTATCAAAGAATCCTGAAAAAAGTATCACAGGTTCCAAAAAAACAATATTGTGCAGCACAACATTAATAGTTCTAATAATAAATCAGCATATTAGAATGATTTCTGAAGATCATGTGACACTTTATACTGGAGTAATGGCTGATGGAAATTCAGCTTTGCATCACAGAAATAAATTATATTTTAAAAGATATTAAAATAGAAAGCGTTATTTTATATTGTAAAAACATTTTGCAATATTACAGTTTTTTTCTGTATTTTTGATCAAATAAATGCAGCCTTGATGAGCAGAAGAGACTTCTTTAAAAAACATTACAAGTCTCACTGATCCTAAACCTTTGAGCGGTAGTGTATGTTTTTTTTTTCAATGGCCAATAATTAATTCAGAAAGCAGGATAAATAATAGCAAATATAATGATTATATATAAACATGTATGTAAAGAATATGCTACAATTTGATTCAATTGCTGAAATAAAATTAGTTTACGCAGTATTAGCTTCAATTTCACTTAAAAATATTTAAAAATAAGCAGCAGCTGTTTCGGATAATTTGTGAAATATTCATTACATTTTTAATATGTCTATCTCTACTGAGCTATATGTTTAAAACAGCTCATAAAAATGAATTCATAGAATGAAACAATGTTAATAAACATTAAAATCAAACCATGTAAAACTATTTAAAAGCAAATGGCTAATTTTAATGGTTTTCTGTTACAATGACACAAAATAAATAATTTGTGAAACATAAGTTCTTAAAATAAATCAAGGCTATTAAAAGGTGAAATTATATATATATATATATATATATATATATAAATTAATTTACTTTTAATAAAATGTAACTTTTTTCATTTTAATGTTCAGTAACCTTGATTTATTTTAAGAATGTATGTCCTTTTAATTAATTAACTTTTAATTGAATAATTTTATATTAAATGTATATGAGTACTGTAATTGTTATATATGTTTATATTATTATATGATATATATATTTTAGATGAATATTTAATTAAATATTTATATTAATTGTATATTAATATTTAACAATAATTAGCTTATAAAAATTAATTTATATAATAAAACAATGTTAATAAACATTAAAATCAAATAATGTAAAATTATTTAAAAGCAAATGGCTAATTTTAATGATTTTCTGTTACAATTAAATGACCCAAAATAATTCATTTGTGAAACATAAGTTAATAAAATAAATCAAGGCTATTAAAACATGATTTTATATATATATATATATATATATATATATATATATATATATTAATATTTCATTTAATTTACTTTTAATACAATTTTACTTTTTTTTATTTTAATGTTCAGTAACCTTGATTTATTTTATGATTGTTTGTCATTTTAATTAAATAATATAATTAAATGTATATAAGTGTTTTAATTGTTACATATGTTTATATTATTATGATATAATTTTAGATTAATATATAATTAAATATTTATATTAAATTTATATCAATATTTAAAAATTATTTTAGGTTTATCAACCTTGATTTATTTTAAGAATGTATTTTCATTAGTTTTCTATTACGTTTTTATTCATATTCATTTTATTTATGAGTGTGTGTGTGTATATATCTAAAATAACAAAAATATTTATTTATTATTAATTATATATTATTTATTATTAATAATGATAAAAAATTTGTTATTTTATGTATAAATTACATCAAATTATACAAATATGTAATATAAATATAAAATAATTAATAAATAATAGCTCAGTGGAATTTGTATTTATATTTAAATTATATAAAATGATATATACATTTTATAAATATTATAATGTTATATAAAATGTAGTGCTGTCAAATGATTAATCGCATCCAAAATATAAGTTTTTGTTTACATAATATGTGTGTGTACTGTGTATATTTATTATGTATATATAAATACACACGCATGCATGTATATATTTCAGAAAAATATGTTATTTTTATATATTAAATATATTTATTTATAATACAAATTTTATGAATATAAACAAACATGTAAATATTATCAAAATATATACTGCATGTGTGTGTATTTATATATACATAATAAATATACACAGAACACACACATATATATCATACAAACAAAAACTTTTATTTTGAATGCGATTAATCGCGATTAATCGTTTGACAGCACTAATCAAATTAAATTATTAAGATTGCATAAAATTATGATTCATTTTTTATTCCCCGTTACTTTAGTTTCTTGTGGAGCGTAACAAAAATAGACCGATATATCGGTAAATATGTAGTTATTTAGCATCAGCCGATATCTACAGGAAAACCACCTGAAACTGGAATTCCCTCTATTTTTTGTCTCATTTACTGTCATTAAATAATAATTTGTATATATGTGTCCCTGGAGCACAAAAGCAGTGTTAAGTCGCTGGGGGATATTTGTAGCAATAGCCAACAATACATTGTATGGGTCACAATTATCGATTTTTCTTTTATGCCAAAAATCATTAGGATATTAAGTAAAGATCATGTTCCATGAAGATATTTAGTAAATTTCCTACTGTAAATATATCAAAACTTAATGTTTGATTAGTAATATGCATTGCTAAGAACTTCATTTGAACAACTTTAAAGATGATTTTCTCAATATTTAGATTTTTTTGCACCCTCAGATTCCAGATTTTCACATAGTTGTATCTCGACCAAATATTGTCCTATCCTAACAAACCCTACATCCATGAAAAGCTTATTTATTCAGCTTTCAGCTTTAAAAAATTGACCTTTATGACTGGTTTTGTCCTCCAGGGTCACATATGATATATGTCATCATTATAATGGCAGTCGGTCACTCTGATATCGGTACGAGCGAACAGTCAGACTGCTTGTATTCATGATCTTTAAAAAATTGACCTTTATGACCTGGTTTTGTCCTCCAGGGTCACATATGATATATGTCATCATTATAATGGCAGTCGGTCACTCTGATATCGGTACGAGCGAACAGTCAGACTGCTTGTATTCATGATGAACTTTGTGTCTCCTCACAGCCGAGTACAAAACCCTGTGTCCCGGAGGAGAGGGCTTCCGGCCCAATCCCATCACCGTGATCCTGGAGGGTAAGAGCAGATGCTGTGATGCAGGACAGCGCCTGCCGTCTGGTGTGTGTGTGTGTGTGTGTGTGTGTAATGACGGCCCTCTCTGTCTCTGTGTCCCGCTCGCAGACATCGACGAGTGCCAGGAGCTGCCGGGTCTGTGTCAGGGGGGAAACTGCGTCAACACCTTCGGCAGCTTCCAGTGCGAGTGTCCCGCCGGATACTACCTCAACCAGGAGACGCGCATCTGCGAAGGTCATTTGAGTTCACCTGAGGCGCTCATATTTTATGATCGGTTCATTTTTAATGTTTAGTAACCTTTCATTATATTTGTGACCCTGGAGCACAAAACCAGTCATTAGGGTCACTTTTCATCTGAAAGCTGAATAAATAATCTTTCCATTGATGTATTGTTTGTTAGGATCGGACAATATCTGGCAGAGATACAACTATTTGAAAATCTGGAATCTGAGGGTGCAAAAAAATCTAAATATTGAGAAAATCATCTTTAAAGTTGTCAGTCATTAGGGTCACTTTTCATCTGAAAGCTGAATAAATAAGCTTTCCATTGATGTATGGTTTGTTAGGATCGGACAATATCTGGCAGAGATACAACTATTTGAAAATCTGGAATCTGAGGGTGCAAAAAAATCTAAATATTGAGAAAATCATCTTTAAAGTTGTTCAAATGAAGTTCTTAGCAATGCATATTACTAATCAAACATTAAGTTTTGATATATTTACGGTAGGGAATTTACAAAATATCTTCATGGAACATGATCTTTAATTAATATCCTAATGATTTTTGGCATAAAAGAGAAATGTATAATTGTGACCCATACAATGTATTGTTGGCTATTGCTACAAATATCCCCCAGCGACTTAACACTGCTTTTGTGCTCCAGGGTCACATTTATGCATTAATTTATTTGTTTGTGTAATTTACTTTTACTTTTATATAACAATAAATAATGTCTAATTAAACAATGGAATATTCATATTTCAATTACATATTAATTTTAATTGTATATTCATATTTGTAATATTTTAAATACATTTATTGAATTTT